GGAGAGCTCTGGGAGTGTGGTGATGGTGTATGATGAGAGCAGAGATGGTTACAGGGTCCCTGCAGCACACAGATAAACCCTGCAACTGCGTCCTTTTCAGTGCCGTTCACCCCGTGCCTGGCAGACCCAGAACAGCCGCCCGGAGCCCTCCGGCACCCGGGAGGTGGCACTGGCTCCTTTCGGGGCAGGAGGGATGCTCGTGGGGGAGAGGGGGGATCCAGCCACCCTGGGGAAACAGGACATAGGGAACCCGTGGGTCCCCCTTGACCTGCCTGCACTGCCTCGTCCCAGAGCCCTTCCCTCCTTTTCTTCAGCTTCTGGTGCATTTCCAGCCCAGCACATCCCAGTCCCACGGACAAGATTCGGCCCAAAGTCCCACAGCAGCTGCCTTCCCTGCCCAGGTGGTGATGGCTGGGATGGAGGGTCAGCCTGACCTGACATCCTCCTCGTCAGAAGGCAGCTCCGGGGTCAGTGCCTGCTCCCAGCAGGAGCATCAGAGCTGTAACGTGGCCCTGCTAGGAGGGGCAGGAGCTCGGAGGGGGCCGGCACCCCCCTGCCCACCTCGGTTATGGTCTTTGCAGCGTCAGTGACAGATATGTAAGGATTAAATTGCAGTAATCTCTGTAATCTACTCAGTGAGATTAAAACCTCTCCCCCGCCCTCAGACTTTATCCCTTTCATTCCAGGACTCTTGAGCAGTGATTACAGCCGGGGGAAGCCATTTAGCTTTTAAGCACCACTCCATCCTGCTTAAAAATGCATTTCAGAATCAAATGAGTTTGTGTAGCACAGCCAGGGCTGGCTGCTCCGGCTGGGCAGGAGGCTCTGAATTAGGACCAAAGTAGCTTGAGTCAGAGTCAAAATTAAATTTATTGTTTCTGACCTTATTGAGAATACAGTGCATTTACAACTGATTAATGAGGCTTAACCGGAGTTCAGACCCAATACAAGGCAGTTCCACGGCCTGCACTTCCATCCTGCTGTCTGACAGGTACTTTGAGACTCCACTGCCCTTAGGAGACCCCAAAGTGCAGAGCTGGGAGATGTGCCAGGCAGTGCTGGGTCGGGTGTGAATGAGCCAAGGGGCTGTGCGAGCCAGGATCAGCCCTCAGAAGCAGCTCTGGGGCCAGGGCAGCTGAGGTGCCGTTAGCTGATGGGACTGAGCACCTCTTCCATCCTCTGCAGCACCGAGCCTGTGGCTCTCACCAGGCCAGGATGGTGCCAGGGCTACACCAAGGGGGAGAAAACCACTCCAATGCTGACGGCTGCCACCGTGACCCTGGAGACCTCGGGAGTGAGGATGCAGTCCCAGCGTGCTTGCAGTGCTTGGGAATGGCTGAGTCCTGCTGGCCTGTGCCCCACACAGTGTCCACGGTACCCTGGGGATGTGCAGCAGATCTCTGAGCACCATCAGCTGGGATCCCCATCCTTGGTCCTCCTGGCCCCTCAGTGCTGCCCATGGATCTGGCTCAACTGCATCCCCCTGCTCCTCTGCCCAACTCCCAAATGCCAAAATGTCCTTTGAGCAGCTCCAGGTTTCCTGCCAGGACAAGGAGAAGGGGAGGCATTGAGGACCAGGCCTGGTGTCTGTTTCAGGACCTCAGCAGGGCCGTGAGGCTGGAGCAACTGAGCTCTGACTTCCCTGCAGCACTGAGGACCTCGCTGTGCATGCACATGCACTGCTCAGCCCCTGATTCCCAACACAAGGGTAGGTGCCCGTTTGTCAGCCCAGAACCAAAAGGTTCTTTATGTCATCAATATTAGACACAGAAAACTGGATTAACAGTGGCACTTTGTGCTGAGTACTTTCTTTGGCACTGGAAATAAATTCTAAACTTGTTCTGTTCTGCCTTCAACATGGAGACATAACAGGCAGGATACCACTTTTAGTCTTATTTGCTATTTCTAGTGTGCACTTTATTGCTTCCCTATTCTTTTAGGTTTCATGAGCTCCTGGCACAAACTTTATGTATTTCTGTAATAATCTCCTGATCCCTACACTTGGGCAGCTTTTTTTCTCTGCCTGCCTGGCAGCTGTCTGTGCTTGGGATGAGCCCTGGACCAGGTCCTCCCTGAAAAACACAGAGCCACGAGCTCCCAGCAGTGGTTCCTGCTGCTGCCAGCCTGTGGTACGGTGAGATCAGCTTCTCAGAGGGGAAACAAGGCAGAAGAACTGGCCTGAGGCCTGAAGACAGGCTCCAAACCCCTTCCATGGTGTTTGTGCCATGAGCACTGTTTGGCCACAGCCCCACGGTCCCGTGAGCCAAGTGCTGCTCTGAGCAGGAGAGGCTGCAGGGCCATGCTGGAGAAACCACCCTGGGCAAACCAGCATTGAGGAGCTGCAAGTGGCCTGGGAGGGACAGGATGCTGGGGATCCTTCAGGGTTAATGTCAGACAAGGCAGCGGGGTTTCTTGCTGCTTCGCTAAATCCCAGTACAGCAGGAGATTGGAGAGCAGTGAAGGAGGCAAGATGGGAAAGATCTGCTTGGGAACAGAGCCAGGCACCCAAGAGAGATGGGGAGGAGAGGGAGCACCGGTGGCACCCTGAAAAGTGGTTAAGGGAGGTGGGGAAGAGAAGATAAGGAGAGGATGGTGTAAGACTACAGCACCGGCTCCAAAAAGGAACGGGTGAGGGGGGCAGAAGGAGGCAGGAAGTTTTTCAGAGCTCACAGTTCTTCCTCCAGGCCCCATGCTGCACAGCACTGGCTGAGAGGGAATGTTCTGCAGTGATCCAGTGGGCTCTTTCCTCCTGCAGTGCCAGTGCCTGGCACCCCACACCAGGGATCCCACTGGGGCTGGCTCCTGGGGCTCTGTTAGCACAGGCAGCAGGGCCGGGAGTGTGCTGATGGCACCAAAAAGCTGTTGTTTACGTGGAGTGGGGTGTAAACAGCAAACATGTCATGGGAAAGACATGCCCTGCACAGATACAAAGACGGGAAGCAAAATTGTCAGCTTTACAAAACATTCCTCCCTTGCAAGTACAGAAACCTGGAGGTGTTGAGGCATCCGCAGCAGCTTTATTTATCCAGACGCCTCTAATGTTCATGCTTAGGCAATGTGTCTGCTGCTGGGGCTGGATCACCACATGGAGGTGGTGATCTAAAATGGAAAAAGCAACTTTTCCACAGATTTGGCAGTTTGTCATGGAGAGGAACTAAGTGATGGATACTTTCCACCGTCGAAAGCAGAGCCTGCCAATGCCTGGCCCCTCAGGTACCTCCACCCATGCTGCTGTTGCCCGGGCAGGGCAGTGGCCTCGGAGAGGAGGTTGAAGCCCTGTGGGCTCTGTCAGTGCCAGGGCCCTGCACTGGCTCTGGTGCAGCATTTGAGTGGTGGGAGAAGCAGCCCTGGGTGCACTCACATGGGTCAGGCATCGCCCAGCTCTGTCCTCCGGGCTGGTGTGTGCACGTGGCTCCATCCCCTGCTTTGACCCACACGGAGGGGCTGGGGCTCAGCCCTGCCTGGCACAACCTGCGGCCACACAGAGCCGTGGACACGGTACCCAATGGCCCAAAAGGAAAAACCCGTGGGTCACTGAGGATGACGAGGTTTGTCTCCACAAGGACTCAGCCCATCCTCTAGATCCAGAGCTCTCCTGAGGCAACAGGATACTTCTTGCTGGGAACTCCATTCCTGCTCCCAGGGAGGAGCAGTGTCACTGCTCCCACACCAACCCAGGTGAGAGGCTGCAGGCAGCGCTGCTTTTCATTTTTTCTCCATTGTTTCTTTTGACTGCACCGAGTTCTGGGTGTTGCACAGGAGGAAACCTGGTCCCCGCCCCGGACTGCCGGGAGCCTGCGGCATCCTCGTTTTTGTCGCGCTGGCACTTCTTGCCTGTCTCTCCCTGTCATCATCCTTCTTCCCAAGGAACAAGACAAGTAGTTTTCCGCAGCCGATCAAGCTTCTAGTGCTGAGGAAGCAGGAGCGATGGCTGCTAATGCCTAAGCGGTGCCGCACGCAGCACTTTGGCTCAGCAGGAGCAGCCAAGCGGAAGCCTGGGATGTCGGGGTGCAAGAGGAAACAAAAGGGGAGCCGGGGATGGGGCTGGAGCAGTCCGCATTCAGACTCTGCCACAGCCGGTGGGCTTCCCGGGCCAGCCTGCATGTGGGGCATCAGAGCCGGGACCGGCGGGGCTGAGCAGCCCCAGCCCGACAGTGAAATTTAATTCATGCGTCACTTTAGAGCTTTTCCCTCCTACTTACCGGCGGCACCGCGGCGGCCGATGGCTGCTCCTCCTGCCCTTGCCGAGGACAGAAGCGACTGCTGCCGTGGGGCGGTCCCGCCGCGCTCCCCTCGGGGGGCTGATGGTTCGGGCATCCCGGGGACCGGCCGTGACTCTCGCAGCCCCGAGCCCCGGCTGCCGCTCCCGGGCGAGGGCTGCTCGCACCGTTCTGCTGCTGCTCCCCGCTCCAGGGCGGAGGTTGCGCGGCTGCGGGGGCGCCGCTCCCGGCCCAGCTGCGGGGATGCAGGCGGGTGTCCCCGGCTCCGCACCGCCGCTTCCAGCGGCTCAGGGCTGGATGTGGGCTCGGAGCGGGGCAGGGCCGGGCAGGACAGCGCGCCCGGGGACGGGACGATCGCACCGGGGCCGGGGCCGGGCAGGGCAGGACTCGGCGGGCGGCGGGGCAGCCCCAGCCCCGCGGCCCCCGGTCCCGGGAGGAAGGGCTCTGCTCGGCGGTACCCCCGGCCCGGCCCGGGGGAGGCACCGGCCACGGAGCGGCCGCGGGGGCTCCGGGAGGCGCTGACGTCAGGCGGCCCCTTAAATAGCGACGCAGCCGCCGCTGCCCCGACACTTCCCGCGGAGGCAGCGCGGAGCCGCCGCCGCCCGATCGCGGGCATGGCCGGGCCGGGGCGGCGGGCGCAGGGGGGCCGGGGTGGGCGCAGCCCCCTCGGGCGGCCCGGCCGCTCCGCCGCGTAGCCGCGGGAGATGCCGGAGCGGCCGCGCCGGGGCCGGGGCGCCGGGCCGGGGCCCGCCGTGCCCGGCGGCGCGGCCCCATGGAGCCATGGCGCGTAGGGCGCCGAGCGGGCGGGCCCCGGCCGTGGCTCCGGCTCCGTCCCGGCGGCTGGCAGGGAGGGTCCTCGTCCTCTTCACGCTGTCGCTGTCCTGCTCGTACCTGTGCTACAGCCTCCTGTGCTGCTGCGGCAGCCCCGCCGCGCCCCGCGCCCGCTGCCCGCCCGCCCGCGCCGCCGCCGCCGCCAAGAAACTTCTGCAGCAGTCGCGGCCGTGCGGACGGGCGGCCCCAGCCCCGCCGGCCGGCAGCGCCCCGGGGCCCGCCCGCCCGGGCACCAAGCGCCTGCCGCGGGCCATCGTGGTGGGCGTCAAGAAGGGCGGCACCCGCGCCGTGCTGGAGTTCATCCGGGTGCACCCCGAGGTGCGCGCCCTGGGCACCGAGCCCCACTTCTTCGACAGGAACTACCACCGCGGGCTGGAGTGGTACAGGTGAGGGCGGGGGGCTGCGGGACCGGCCCCCGCCCGCCCCGGGCACCCCTTGTCCCCGGCCGTCCCCCATGCCGGAGCGTCCCCGTCCCTACACAGCGGGCGCTCGCCTCTCCCGGCGCTCTCGGTGCGGACTCGGCTCCGCGTTCCTCGGTCAATCGATGGAGCCGGCGGGGCGGCAGCGGCCGGAGCGGTCCCGGCGGGCGGCGGAGGCTGTCCCCCGGCCGCTCTCGGGGAGCTTTCCTTAATCTCCTTTCGCTATAGCCGAGCTCGGTCCTGCCCCTTCTCCGGGGCTCTCGGCAGTATAGCCCCCCGAGCCGGTAGGCACCCAGGAGCCGGGACGATGCCAGGGCATCCATTCCATCCCGTCTGAGGAAACATTTGCCTGGGTGAACGGTTCTCCAAAAAGCGGGAGTGCCTGTGCACGGGACGCACGGCTGTCCCCCCCCGCTCCCCTGCTCCGTGCACCCCGGCACGCTTCTACCGGGCTTGATCGCTGGCTCCGGAGAGGTGCGGGATCATCCCGTCTCTCTGGACCCGAGTAACTGTGGATCTATATGGAATCTTTAACAGTTTGCAAAGGTCAGCGAGTGTGTCTCCAGCAGGAGATGGTGGGATTTTAATTTCCGTAAGGGCTTTTGTGAGGTGCTGTGAGAGCTCTGGGAGAGGCAGCAGGCGCTGCTGTTAAGCAGGTCACAGCGCCCGTGGGCTCACCGGTGCTGCCAGCGCTCCAGCCCCTGCTCCCTGTGCTTCCCACCCAGGGTACCGCGGGTGTTTGCTGTGCTGTTCTGGAGCGCTGGGGCAAGGCCGTGGGGCTTCTGCTGGGCATCAGCCCTGGAAAGCAGAGGGGGGCTTGGCCTGGCCCCGCTGCCTGGAGCTCACAGCAGGGGAAAGGGCTCTGTCATTGCCAGGAGCATCATGGTGGGTGAGAGGCAGCCTGTGGGGCCACACCAAGCTCTCTTGCCCTCCATCAAAGATGTCCCGGTTCCAAAGCAGGTTAGTGCAAGCAGTGGGAAGTCAGTGTGACATAGTGCTCCCAGCTCTGCTCAGGTCCTGGGAGCTCAAGCACTGCATGGAGAGAACAGTCTGCAGTGCTGCTGCCCTGTGTCCTGCTCAGGTCAGAGCAGACCCTGCAGCCAGGAATGTTCGGATCCTTTGGATCCTTTGGTGCCAGTACTGGTGCCAGATGACAGGAAAGCTAAGACAGGCACAGGTGAAGCTCACTGAAGTCGTTTCCCTCTCCTGAGGCTGTCCTGCAGCATGCACTGTTCGTCCTGCTCTTCAGAGAGTAGCTACAGCAATATCCTTCACCTGCTTTTGCCTCTCACGCCCAGAGTGGCAGGATGGGTGATAGAGCAGATCATGGGTCCTGGCTGAGCCTCTCGCTCAGAGGGGAGCTGCATGGGCTCAGCACCTAGCTGGGAAGCAACCCCCCCAAATCCTGAGCTGGGATCCTCCCTTGCATCCTCGTGTCTGAAACTGATCCGGGCTGTTTGCTTTCCCTGCGTGCTGTCAGCGTGGGAAATGCGGGGCTGGGAGCCTCATGGGCAGTGCAGGACTGAACCTGACACGACACCTTTACAAGGTTTGGGACACGGAGCCTGCCCTGAATGAAGGGACAGACCCTGCCTGGGGCATGCGGAAGGATGTGTGGACACCAGGAGTGGTGCTGATGCAGGAGGCAGGAGCTCTATCCTCTCCCCTCACACTGTGGCACTGAGGGGCTGCAGCAGTGTGCAGCCTCCCACCCTGATCCATCACTCAGCCTGGGATCTCCATGTGGAGAGACTCTTGTCCCTGACAGGAGGGATGCAGCCTGTGGCGGTGGCAGGGTGGTTGTGGGGCGAGGTGGGAGCGTGGCCAGGTGAGCAGCACTGCCCTGGGGCCCGGCTCTGTCTGGATCGATAGAGAGATCACACCGGAGCAGCAGAGCCTCCAAATTAGTTCAGCTAAAACAATTAAATGACACTTCCTTGGTTTTATTACTTTCCTTTTTTTTTTAAACTGACAAATGTGCCAAAACTTAAGCACAGAGGCTGCTAAAGTATAAAATGTGGAATTGATTTTCCTCCTTGCAGCTGGAGCAATTAAATGTGGAGCAGGTCTAACCCACAGCAGGATAAGCTCCTGTTGCTCTGCCAAGAGCTGGGGAGAAGGGTCCTGCCAGCGGCCAGGAGGGACAGACGGGCTGGGGGCAGCAGATGTGGGGGCTGGGAGGGATTGCAGGGGCTGCCTGCCAGGACCCCAGAGAGGGGGGCTGTGCCTGGCTGGGCTGGGGGAGAGTAGGTGCTGTCGTGCATGCCGTGGTGGAGGGTGGTGTCTGCAGGCTGCTTGGAGCACAGAGCCCTTGGAAAGGCCAAGGTAAAAGCATTCCCTGATGTGAGTAGAGACTTTGCCTGCAGGAGCCTCTGGCTCAGCTGTGTCTTTCCCTCCTGCCCCAGTGGGGACCCAGGTGGAGAGATCAAGGTGGTCTCTGGTGCAGTTGCAAGTAGCATGAGAACCGGAGCCCTTTGGTGCTCCAGAAACGTTGGTTACCATTTTCTCATGTTTTCCCCTGCCCTGGCATTTGTCTGACGCAGGGGTGGCAGAGCTAGCACGAGGGGACACCTCCTGATCTGCCCATCCTTGCCTCTCCAAATGTCATGCTTGTTCCCAGCTGCTCTCGTGGTGCTGCCATGGCCCAGAGCAGCCCCGGCTCCCCTGTGCAGGGGGATGAGCACGGGGCAGAGCCAGAGCCCTGGGCTCCCCCGTGTGGGACCGCTGCCCAGGAGCTGCCCACTCACTGGCTCCAGACCCCGAGCCCCCGTGCTGCTCCAGTTCCCATCAGTGTCTAATCCACCTCATTAGCTACAGATGCACTACAGGAAAGATATTTTTAGCAAGGTCTGTTTTAAGACAGCTGAAACCAAACAGCAGCTACTGGGGAATATCGATTCATTACCAATCCTGCACTAAATGTTCAATATTGAGCTTTTTCCTGCTGCAAGTAGTGTGGGCCAATAACCTTCAATATTTTCCAGAACACGGGGAAGGTGGTGTGATTTAAATTGCTGTTAACTTTGAGTAGCGCCTCTAACTGCAGCATCTCGGGGTGCAGTTTTCCTCCTTGGGATTCCTGAGTGATCCTGTCCGATGCTCCAGGGTTATTTTCACAGAGAGGGGCTTTTCCTTGTGGCTGCAGCAGCAGGCTGAGCCCGGCTGCCACCCGTGCTCTGGCTGCCACAACCGAGCCCGGAGGCGGTGTTGGCACAGGGCAGAGCCCGTCTGCTTCTGCTGGGAGCCACCTGCCTGGGTCCCCTGGTCCCAGGGCTGGCACTTGGGCCAGGCTTGGCTTCCCCACGTGCTGCTGTGACAGGTCCCTGGCACTGCTGGCCTTCTGCCCCCCGTCCCTGCCCTGCGCTGCTGTTGGGTGGCCCGGGGGCTGCAGCAGCACAGGGAAGGAGCCCGGGCAGCGGGAGCATGGCTGTGTCCCTGCTGTGTCCCTGCTGTGTCCCCTCTGTGTCCCTGCTGTGTCCCCAGGGTCCCCTCTGTGTCCCTGCTGTGTCCCTGCTGTGTCCCTGCTGTGTCCCTGCTGTGTCCCCACTGTGTCCCCAGGGTCCCCACTGTGTCCCCTCTGTGTCCCCTCTGTGTCCCTGCTGTGTCCCCAGTGTCCCCAGTGTCCGTGCACAGGAAAGGAGCGTGCAGAGCTGCTGCAGACGCTAATTGCTCCCTGCTAATGGCCGGGCTGGCGCACACACAAATGGGAGCCCATTAGGCTTCGCCCTGCGACATGTTTGTGGGCTTTACTGACAGTGCATTTGGGTGAAGTTAATTAGGGAGAAGAGAGGAAGGCGGCAGCTTCAAGGATGCTTTGAAATTTCCTTGACTTCAGAGCGTGCCTTGGCTCTGGGAATGGGCACGGAAGCCGTGGCAGAGTCTGCTGCGTGAGGCCATGCCCGTGGACAGCATCCCTGCTGTCCTGCCCCTGGCGTGGGCCAGCTGCTGCCAACACCCTCACTTGGGCCAGCAGAGCTTCCCTCTGAGGAGCTGGGAGACGCTGGGGATGAGCTCGTGTGCCCAGCCTTCGGCGTTAAAGGTGTGTATTCTAGCTGTGTTCCTTCACCTTGTTTGCAAATGCTGCAGTTTGCTCTCACCTTTGCTTTGGAAGCACCAAACTCAGCTGGTGACCTGGCACACCGTGGGCTTGGCTGCCCTGTGAGGCTGGCAAGAAAAGGACACCAGGTCCTGGTGACCCTGGGTGTCCGTGGTGGGGCCAGGCCCTGGCCACAGCGTGAGCCCAGAGATAGCTGGGGCCAGGGAGCAAGGGCCAGAGCTGGCCCACAGGGCCTCTGAGTGACGGGGAGTGTCCAGGACCATGACTGGCTTGGTGGGGTTTGTGCTTGGCTGTAATGTCCATTTGCCATTTGCACTCAGCTGCTGCAGGGAGGTCACCAAGTGGCCACGGTGGCTCTGACACAGGCCACTGACTGGGAACTGCTGCAGCTGCTGGGGCACATGCAGTGGTTTTAAAAATGAGTGTTCTGTTTTGAAGTTTCACCTGTGGAAGGAGCTGCCTTGGAAGTGGGAAAGGGGGAGACTCCAGCCTGTGTCCCTGAGCAGAGAGCAGCAGCCAGCAGGGCTGAGAGCTGGGCTCTGTGCTAGCTGTGCAGGGAGCCCTTGCCTCCTGCTCCTTCCCAGCCCCCCTGGCCTCAGAGCTGACCTTGGCCTTTGCCAGACCCTCCATCAGTGCTGAGTGATTATTAAGGAAGGTGAGAGTCACACACAGGTGTGTGTCTGTGAAGTGTGCCCTTTGGAAAAGAATCTCTTGATTTAAAGGACACTGCAAATCTCTGGAGCATTTAAATGATTAAAAATGAATCAGCAACAAAGTTAATTACTGTGTTCGCTCTGCTTTTATGCATGGAAATGTCCCTCATTAGCTGTCTTCAAGCACTGGTGTAAATTCTTTGAACATAAACATTTATTAAAGGGAGTTGCTCCACCATTAAATCCTGGCTGCTGTAGTGTGGGCTGGAGGCAGCGAGGCCGTGGGGCCCAGGCAGCAGCTGCTGTTTGTGGCTGTGGCCATGGTGCTGTCCCTGGGGCTGGGGCTGTGGCCAGTGTGTCCTGCCCGCTGTCCCACGCTGGTGCCAGCCTGCAGTGCTGCCAGCGAGGGGCTCGGAGCTGCTGGGGGTCCCTGGCTGCCCTCAGCCCCTCGCAGCCCTCGGCCAGGGCATCACTGTGTCCTCCGGGACCCGTGGTGTCTCTCAGCCAGAGATTTTTGTTTTCCTCACACCTCGGTTTCTCACAGGTTTAACCAATATTGCTTAAACTTCCCGAAACTACCAGAAGTAGCTTTGCTGCAGCTTTCATCCAGCACTGCTGTCCTGCTGCCCACTGTCCTGCTGTCCTGCTGTCCTGCTGTCCTGCTGTCCTGCTGTCCTGCTGTCCTGCTGTCCTGCTGGGCAGAGGTGCCAGGCAGAGGCTGCTGCTGCTGTCAGCTGTGTGTGCACCTGTGGCACGGCACGGCACAGAGCAGCACAGAACAGAACAGCACAGAGCGGCACAGAATGGCACAGAACAGCACAGAACAGCTCAGAACAGCTCAGAACAGCTCAGCACAGCACAGAACAGCACAGAACAGCTCAGAACAGCACAGAACAGCTCAGAACAGCTCAGAACAGCACAGAACAGCTCAGAACAGCCCAGCACAGCTCAGCACAGAACAGAACAGCTCAGCACAGAACAGAACAGCCCAGAACAGCTCAGCACAGCACAGAACAGCACAGAACAGAACAGCTCAGAACAGAACAGAACAGCCCAGCACAGCTCAGCACAGCTCAGCACAGAACAGAACAGCTCAGCACAGCACAGAACAGCTCAGCACAGCTCAGCACAGCTCAGCACAGAACAGAACAGCTCAGCACAGCACAGAACAGCTCAGCACAGAACAGAACAGAACAGAACAGCTCAGAACAGCTCAGAACAGCACAGAACAGCACAGAACAGCCCAGCACAGCTCAGCACAGCACAGAACAGCTCGTCACAGCCCTGCTGGCAGCACCGCTGACTCCCGTGCTTCATATCCCAACACATCAAGCTGCAGCTGCAGACACGCTGACAGCCCCACCGTTCTCTGCTGGTGACATCAGCTGGGAGAGGGGCAGCTCAGAGCCCTCACCACAGGAGCTGGCACTTGGGATTTTTTTGCCAAATGAAGCAGTTTGTTTTTATGCCGCTGAGCAGATGGAGCCCAGGATGGCACACGCCAACCTCTGCACACAGCGGCTGCAGCAGGCAGGGGCTGACCCCGAGCTGCTCCGGGGCCGGGGCTGTGATGGGATTATCGGTGGGCACTGCCCTCCCCACTCTTATCTGCAATATCTCAATTGTTTGATGGGGTTTTGTACAAATTCCTCCCTGGGAGAGTGTTTCACGCATGTTCGACATCAAAGCAGCTCAGCCAGTGAGGGAGCACATGTTTCTTTAATGTGGGAGTGTTGTAGGGGCCGCAGGGTGCCCAAAGGCAGATTATAACAAAATTAATAATTCAGGGCTTGGAAAGGTGCTGGTGAGGAGTTAACCCCTTCAGGGCGAGTCGCTGCCTTCATGCTGCCACAGCCAGGTCAGGCTCTGCATTGCTGCTGCCCAGCATCTCTGGGGTGCTGGGCTTGTGGGGGCTGTGCTGGCTCCCAGGGACTGCAGGGCACGGCAGGGCACAGCAGCTCCCCTGGGCTGTACCCACAGTGTCCCCATGTCACTAACATGGGCAAACGCAGCCCTAAACCTGGGCTGAAGGGACTCTTCGTGCCCATACCAATGGCACTAAAGGCCTTTAAGAATCGGGCAGCTCTAGTGCAAGTAATCTCTAATTCAGGAGGAATTCATGCTGTCCCTGCAGCCAGAGCCATCCTCCCCCCGCCAGTGTCACTCGTACATCACTGTCCCCGTGCTGGCAGCAGCTGGCTCAGCAGTGCCAGCAGCCAGTGCCAAGGCCAGCTGGGGACATCACTGGAGCCAGGGGACATGTCCAGAGAGCAGCAGGAGCAGCTCCTGGTGCAGCCCTGGCCACGCAGCTGTGGCACTGGGGGCCAGCACCAAGAACCTTCACACCTACGCATGCAAGCCGGGGCCTTAAAGCCGTGTGACATGCTATTTGTATGCAAATAACCCTGTGAATGCAGAAGTCCAAAAATATTACTTTAAAGTCTGGTGTAATTAAGTTTGCCATGCATTTCCCTGCTCCTGCAGCCCTGGGGATCCTGCTGTTAGCGGGAAAATGAATGCCTGGGTGACATCTCTCCCCCTTGCATGGCTTCACTGGTGATTTATTTATCTGCCCGTGCTGTGTTTTGTTGTCTCAGCAGTCTCTGCTGCTCAGGAGCGGCAAACACTGGGAGTCCATTTAAAAAAACAACTCTTGTCTCATTTCAGTAATTTACTATGCAGAGGTTTTGTGTTTTACATAATGGATTAGAACCTGTAATTTTGTATTTTGAATGCATGGACCTAATAACTCAAGTAATGAAAGTCTAACAGGCTTGAGGATGAGCCATTAATGAAACAGCAGTTTTATGATTCTCCACAATATATTGCAATAGTGGATCACTTACAGAGCTGTCCTGTGCTGATTTATGATGAAACTTGTTTGTGATGTGGAGATAGAGCCATGTGCCTGCACTGAATTAGCGCTTCCTGGCCGTCATTAACCAATGGGAATCGTAATTGGTATTTATGGAGTTTGAAGCTGAGCGCTGGGAAAGGCCAATTAAGCACCATCCATGCTCAGGTACCTCAGTGAACCAGCCCTGCTAATTTATGCTGACTAATTATTAAAAATTAGTTTGTTTTCTCTCAAGTTAGGAAGCTGGTGAAGAGGGTGTATGGGATGGTGCCCTCGGCGTGTGCCACCACTCCCCATCGTGTCCTGGGTTCTTCCACCTCTGTCCTCTTGTCACTCAGGGTGTTGTGGGCTGCTCTTGGATCTCCTCCCAGTTTCATCAGCCCAACACCTCTGGCTGTGGGCTGTGTTTCAGGGGTGCCAGAGGTGCCAGGCCCTGGTCCCTTAACCACCCTCACTCGGTGCCTGCAGTGGGACGGGATGCTGTCAGAAATCCTGCAGCCAGGGATGGTGTTTGCTTTCCCTGGCTGCTGCTGGTCTCAAAGCCACAAAGCCTCTGCCTGGGGATGTGCCTTGTGGGGCCACAGGGAGCTCCACAAGCTGAATTCGGGCTGTGCCTGCTCACACCGCAGCAGCTGCTGGTGCCACAGGGCGCTGCGGGGCAGTGGATGCAGCAGAAGGGTGCTGGCCTCATCCTGGCCACCACAACTCCCTGTCCACTCCAGCCTGGCATTCCCTGCCTGCTCCCCACCTGCTCCCTGCCGGGAGCCAGGGTACCTCCAGTGCCATGAATCTGGCTGCAGTGGATTTGATAGTTTACTCTAGTAACACAAGACCAATTTATAAATCTTTCCATCCCATTAGTTTTTATTTGATTTGGATGTTCAGATGTCAAAGCAAATGATTTAATTAGTGCTAAGCTGGGCTGCAGGGATGCTGCATTTCCCCCAGGCTGGTGCTCCTTGCCTGGCCTGCAGCCCAGCTCCCAGTGCCAGAAGCAGATGGGTGTACCCAGGAGCCCATGTGGAGCTGGTCAGGCCCTGGTGGGGTGGCTGATGCCCTGCTGGGCACAAGCCCCACAGCCCCCTGGGGCCTGTCCATTGCTCCCCAAGGCTCCTTGTGGCGGTGGTGTGGCACAGCCATCACATCCTGCATCCTGGCACTGGACAAACGCTCGCTACTGTGTGTGGGGCTGCCGGTGCCCCCGTCCTCTGCCCAGGCTCCCTGGGACCGGGATGGACCTGGAAGTCGTCCATGGCCAAGGTCCTCCACAGTGCTGCAGGAGGGATCTGTGCCTGCTTTGTCCCACTGGGAGGGGACATGTCCCCAGCCCCGTGGCACAGCCACCACCTCCTGGTGCCTGTCCCGGCTCCTTCCTTACCATCACCTTCTGCTTGGCTTGCAGGAGCCTGATGCCACGAACACTTGACAGCCAGATCACAGTGGAGAAGACCCCCAGCTACTTTGTCACCAAGGAGGCCCCGCGGCGCATCTTCAACATGTCCCGGGACACGAAGCTGATCGTGGTGGTGCGGAACCCGGTCACCCGCGCCATCTCGGACTACACGCAGACGCTGTCCAAGAAGCCGGACATCCCCACCTTCGAGGGGCTGACCTTCCGCAACCGCAGCCTGGGGCTGGTGGACACCTCCTGGAACGCCATCCGCATCGGGATGTACGCCGTGCACCTGCAGAGCTGGCTCCAGTACTTCCCTCTCTCGCAGATTCACTTTGTCAGCGGCGAGAAGCTGATCACGGACCCAGCAGGGGAGATGGCCAAAGTGCAGGACTTCCTGGGCATCAAACGGGTCATCACAGACAAGCACTTCTACTTCAACAAGACAAAAGGCTTCCCGTGCCTGAAGAAGTCGGAGAGCAGCGGCTTGCCTCGCTGCCTTGGCAAGTCCAAGGGCAGGACTCACGTGCAGATAGACCCCGAGGTGATCGAGCAGCTTCGGGACTTTTATAGACCTTATAATATCAAATTCTATGAAACAGTCGGGCAGGACTTCAGGTGGGAGTAAGTGTCCGGGAGCAGAGCTGCAGTGACATGGAGCTGCAGTCTTCTGTGAGGAGGGCCCGAGGGGCTGGAGCCAGGACCCCCCTCAGCCCATGGAGAATTGTGAGCAGAGGCAGGCAAGGCCTTTCCCCGTGGCTCAGGAGTCTGCAGCGCTCCGGAGAGCACCAAGATCAGGAAGACTCAGTCCTGCTGCAGCCAGCAAGCCGAGGGATGAGTGCCCAGCAGCACTGCCTGTCCCAGCGGGTCAGCAGAGACGTGGTTTCCTCCGTGGGGTCCTGTGTGCCCTTAGCACCACGTGGTCCCCAGGGTCACAGACAGCCCCAGCCTGTGTCCAGGCTGCTGCAAAGCACATCCCTCTGTGTCCCAGAGCAGATGGGTGCTCCTGCACGGTGGGACTGTCCCTGCCAGCCCCGTCCTGGGCGGGCACAGCTGCAGCCACTCCACTCTGCCTTTGTCACTTGCCGCCATGTGTACCCAGGAGGACAGAGAGATGTATCTGCTTGACAAAGAAGTCTATGGAAAATGTTGTACTGATATTTTGTCCTGTGAATAAAGCACAGAATCCTGCTGTTACGGGTACTTTAGTGGCACTAGTTTCCTTGTTCAGCTTGTGATCCCTTCATGTAAATAAAGTGGCTTCCACCAGTCCGTATGCATGGGCTGTTCTTAGGGCAGGGCTGGGCAGCCCCCGGGCAGAGCTGGGGGGCCACGGGGAGCCCCCAGAGCCGCAGGCAGGAGAGGGAACGGGCAGGGGCTCGGGCAGGACGGGGGGTCAGCCCGACACAACCGAGGGGACCTGAGGCACAGCCCTGCCTGGGGCTCCCCAGGCTCGTCCTCTGGCCCAGGGCTGGGGATGTCTCAGAACGATGCAGTGGCCGTGTAGGGATGCAACACACCATGGAGCAGTTTGCAAGGTCTTACTGTGAGTGATTAGTAACCAGTGAGCTCTAACAGGAAAAAATTGGAGTTAATTAGTGGACACCTAGGAGACACCCATCTGCATCTCTGCCACTGCCAGCCACAGGGGAAGACACAGCAGCGAGGGGACCCAGAGGCAGTTATGGGCAGGTGGAGGGAGAGACGGGAATTAATGGCCATTGACAGGAAAATGGGATATTTGCTTGTATGATTTTTCCTTTAAAGGAGAAAAACATTCACAGCGAGACTCGCAAATCCCAGCCTCGCAGTAGAAAAGCCATTTCCAATCCACTCCAAGGAGGCAGAAGGTGCCAGGTTAGATTGATCCTCCTGACAATACTGTATTAGTGGGAAATTAGAGCTGGAGCCTGAGGAAACTGCTGCGATATCAAACAATTACTTTACATTTGTCCTTACAAATGGAGGGAGCAGAAATGTGCTTAAACCAAGTATTAGCTTTCCAAAGGGTGAGCAAATGAGGGCTCAGACGGGGCAGCACTGAAAATATTCAGTGAGCATATTAGGAGCTCTTAAAAATGGCTTTAAAAGCCCCAAGCAGGCAATCTGCACGCCCTGGAGGCAGGGCAGGGGTTTGATGAGGATGGAAGGGTTTGCTGAGGACGTGGAGTGCTGATGGTTTGGTGACCTGATGCCAGCTAGAGGGGCTGCCAGAGGAAGCCCCCCTGCTCGCCCAGCCTGGGTTCTCCCCACCCAGGGGACAGAGGCTCTGCCCTCAGGGCTCTCACGCTGTTTCCAGCCATGCCTGGAGCAGCTCGGCCCCGGCTGCCCCCTCTGCATGGCCGGCGCCGTTGTGTGCACCGTGTTTTGATGGGTTCACTCAGGCCTGAACCCCAGAGAGCAGCTGGTTAATATTTATCAGCTCATAAATAGTTAAACGTAATGAATGAGACTGAAGTGGTCCCTGATCCTACTTGTGCTGAAGAGCTCTTGAGACGAGCTGGGCCAAGGGAACCCTTCACTGGCCCGTTCTCATCACTGGCAGTGCCCACGAGGAGCAGAGCCACTGGCACATCCTCGGGAGCTGCAGCAGCGCTCCTGCCCACCAGCAGCCTCTCCAGAACAGCCCCCTCCCACTGGGACTGTCCCAAGACCTCCCAGTCAAGGATGTTATCCTTGCCAGTGTCCCCATTAGCTACCCACCCTGCCTGTCTCCTGATGAGGACACCTTGAGCCCGGTGGGAGCTGCCCTGGGAGCACCACGACTCCAGGGTCCCCCATGTGTGAGCCCGAGCTGCACCGCTGGAGCAGCTCGTAAATTCACTCCTGGTGTTTCCAGGTGCACAAGGAGCATTGTTATCCCTCTGACTGAGGCAGGATCACAGCGCTGTGAGCACCGAGAAAATTTGATTAACTTCGTATTACGTTAATCTGATTCAATTTCACTGCTGGCTCCATGTTTACTGGCAGAGTCCTGGGAGTGGCTGCGGGGGACTCCCAGCCCTGTCCCCTCACTGCAGTGCTCGGCAGCGTGCCCCTAGCACACCTCCTTCCACACACACATAAATACATAAATCCAGTCATTTTCACAGAAAGCTCCAGCCCCTCGGAGATGATGGATGCTCTGGGGCAGCTGGGATTCAGATACATCCACGTAGGTCAAGTTTCCTCCTGTTATTTCATCAGGCTGCAGCAAGGAACAGGGACACGGGGCCGGTGTGCTCGGGGCTCTGTCCCTGTAGAGCCGGGTGGGTACAGCTGGATGTCACCAGCGATGCCAGCACCCGCCTGCCCGGGCAGCACAGACACAGAGGGGCTGTCCCTGGTGCCAGCTGCCCCCGGAGCTGCGGGCTCCCGTGCAGAGCACAGCTCACCAGCAGCTCTGGGGGCTGCTCCCACTGCCAGCCCTCCCCTTCCCCACGGGAACCTGTCCCGGAAAGTCATCCCGGGACCCCCGAGAGCAGCCGGGCTGCCCTTCCCTCCTGCGGTCCGGGGCACGGGACTGGGGCGGGCACAGAGCGGGGAACGCGAGCCCTGCCGAGGAGGAGCTGCCCCGATGCTCTCGGGGCATTAACACATCGCATTTGCTCTCAGAGTTCCCCACGTTCCTCTCCGAGCCCTGCCCAGGGTTCCACGAGAGGACCTGACGGCATCAGTGCTGCGCAAAGTCCAGGCATCGCTGCATAATTCATTACCTGGCAGCTAATTACCGGGCTGATCCAATTAGCGACTCCTGTACAGCCAGGGCTGCGGGGCAGGCAGCAGGGACCGGCACTGACAGCAGGGGGGAGGCTGGGGGCTGGCACCTGCCAGTGGCCACGGGGCTGGCACTTGTCAGTGGCCACGGGGCTGGCACTTGCCAGTGGACCCAGTGCCAAGAGAGCCAGTGTGTGCTGCACCCCGGGGCGCTGCAGCAGCTCCTGCCAAAGGCTCGTTATCCCTGGCTGGGCTCAGGGAGCTGCAGGAACACTCATCCCGCTGTGGCTGGCCCTGGGATCGCTGCTCCCGGAGGGAACGGGAGGAGCTCACACACGGGATGCTGAGTCCGGGCCAGCCCCGAGCCGCGGCGTGAGGCCAGGTCAGAGAGGGTCCCCTGTTGTGAATGTTTGAAGATTTTAAGGGACCTTACCACGCTCATTGCAGAGATCCCCGCTCCCCGCAGCTGGCTCCTGCAGCCGTGTGAGGACAGCAAACCTCCGGCACGCTCCAGTGGCTGCAGATAAGGACAGCTTAGGGATAAATATTTACCCAGCCACTGAATGGATTCAACTGAGTTCATTCCTATTAGAGAATCTGTTAGTAATTATCTGAAGACTCGTTATTACCTGGGGACCTATAATCTCCCAGAGTAATGAGTTCAAGTGGCTCCTGTGGCATATCAAGCAGGGAAGGGAAGGTGGGAAGGGGCCGCTGCCACTGCAGCAAGGGCAGGGCAGGGCTCAAGGACAATGGCTCGGCTTTGGGCAGCTGCCACTGTAGCGCCATGGCCGTGGGGCACAGAGCTACCACTTTGCCTCCCTGCAGCGGCTCAGGGGCAAGCCCTGGGCAGAGCTCAGGTGCAGGCACAGCTCAGAGAGCACAGGGAGGCAAAGGCTGAGGCTTGAATGGAGCTGCTGCATCCCCAGCCAGGCGTGGCTGCCAGGGATGTGCTTCAGGACATGGTCCCTGTGCCAGGCATGGGTGAATCCCAGCTGCAGGGACAGCCCCAGTGCTGGGCTTTGTGTCCCACAGACACAAAGACTGGACTGTGTCTGTGGCTCAGCAGCTTTGTCCCAGTCCTGCCACCCATAGGGACTAATTCTGCAAACCTGAACCCGTTTCGTATGATTCAACTAAAATAAAGTAACTGAAGAGGGGGATGCAAGGCAGGGCAGACATTGACAGGCAGGAAAACCCCTCCTGGGCCACATGTCCAGGGTTGCTGTGTGTTAGCAGAGGATGGTCCCCACTGCTGCTGCCATTCAGGGCACAAACACTGCAGGGCACAGCAGCTCTGTGCCACAAGTGTGTGCATGCCTGGAGCAGCAACACAGGAGGGAGAGTGCCCAGGAGGGACTGAGATGAGTTACTTTGCTGCTAATCCTATGAAGGATCCAAACTGACAGCCAAAACCATCCATCCCTCGTTGTCACACGCCACAGAGCCCTGGCTGGGCATGGTGATGGTGGCAGCCAGGCAGCTGGTGCCCGGGCTCACACCAGGCTCTGTGCTCCCTCTTCTTTGCTCTTTCCCTCTCCACCTTCCCTGAGTGTTGGCAGGTCCTGGTGGATTTGTATGTTTTAAATAAATTTCTTTCTTTGTTTGGAATACACTAATTTTATTTAAAACACCCAAAAAGGCTAATGCTCCCAGCCCCAGCTCTGCCTGCCACAGAGCTGCCATGTGACAGTGCTGTCTTTAGTCACAGCACTATTACGAGACCAATCCATTCATTCAGCTCTAATCTCTAAAACAAAGATAAAATTACGTGATTAAGATCTAATTAAAGTCTAACTACCAGCACCATGAATCACTTCAGCATAACTTTAATGGATGCCTTTCTAAGCCATCATGCATTTGGTTTCCTTCTGTGGCCAGTGATTTCCCTGCAGGGACTGGGTCTGCTCAGGCTGATGTTTGCTCTCACTGGTTCTGATTTGGCTGGGGACCACTAAAAATGTTTACATGTGAGCGAGGAGCTCGAAAATCCATTTCTAACCAGACAGAAAAT